AAGAGCATCAAGACTGGATTAAATGTTGACATTAAGAGTAATCAGAATTGTTTGTTTTCACATGATTTATTGCAATACATCCAATAAAGTAACTTTTGCATGTATAGTAACAGGGAGATTATGAAACCTATATCTCAACAAAGAAATACTGCTTGCCCAGTATTGATCGACCCTTTTTTAAAAGGTATGAAAAACGGGAACTGTCAGATCCGTGTTTTAGTTTGATCGGATCCAAGAAGAATCGTATGACATCCCTATGTGGAAAATCATTTATGATCACAAGTTAGTGCAAGCGACATAATGCTATAGAACGATACATAAATACAATGATTTTAGTTAATTACTGTTAAGTAAACAAAAATCGTTATCATTCTAACGTAGAAGCGGCTGTAGCCATTATATCACTGTTAGAAATGATCAAAGTCGTAAAACATAGAACAATATTCGAGTTAAAAAAGAAAAGAGTAAACGTATGTGAGAAGTGAGAGGAAGAAAAGGAAAAAATAAAAAATGTAAAGTAGACTAGCGAGCACAAGTTTATTTGTTTTCCTGGCTTAATTATTTTCAAGACCCTCAAAGCGTTGAGAATCGATAATATATTTAATCACAGATTTAGCAACAACTAAATACGTACCTTTATCAAGCGATGCATTCAAACATAGTAGATCCGTACACGGGGGGCTGCCGTTCAGCATCGGTTTAAGTTCCTTATAGAAACGCTTTCTATATCGTGTGTAACGAGTACAATGGAGTAAAAAATGCTCTCTTGATTCAATGCTACCGCAAACACACAATTTAGTGTCTGATAGATTTTTTGTAAATAGATCAAAGTTTAATTGGGAAAATTCTGTTCTCAGCTGGTAATAAATAATATCAGCTTTACGTGGATCATGATAAGTTCGATAGACAGGTAAGCGTGAAGTATTATTTAGTTCAACTTTTAGAGATTTAAGAAAAAGAGAGAGATTTAGCGATTCTTTTACATCATATTTTAAATTATTCCATTCCAAGATCGTCGCCGGAAAAAACTCTTTTCGAAAATATGTCGTTGAGTGTATATGTGTTGTATGATAGAACTATGTTTATAACGTGTGGACCACTGATGTGTTGGTTTTACCGGTACCAATTTAATCAAATAGGAAGGAACAAGTCCTTTCATTATTTTATAAAATAAGATTAGCTTATGTTGCAAAAATAAGGTTTCTAGTGGTGTCTAACACAGACATTTTAAGATTTTATCTTTATCTGTCAATCTCAATGCTCCACTAACAATTAACGCACCTTGATATTGTAAGGCGAACAACTCAGTTAAGTGACTATCAAATGTGGATGTATAAAGACAGTCAGCATAAGTTATTGTTTGAATGAAAAAAGACTTATATACTTGGTCTAACACCACTGTTAAACATTTATATTTAAATGGTTTCATCATATTTAATATTTTAGAACATTTTGTATGAACGTATTTTATATGCGTTTTCCAGGTAAGATCGTTTGATAGTATAACACCTAAAAGTTTATGTTCTAAGACAGGATTTAATATTGTTGTGTCAAGAAGAACGGAATTTGTTATAAAATTAGAAGACTTTCTTGTAAATAGCACACATAAACATTTATCAACATTCAGAGGCAACTGCCATTTTACTGACCGCAAACAGCCTAATTGTGCAATCCATGTCCTCGCCAAAATCATCTATATAAATCAAAAATAAAATAGGACCGAGTAGTGACCCTTGGGGCACTCCTCGATTTATCTTGCGTGGAGTTGAAGCCTGACCACCAACAACAGTAAAGATTGATCTTTTAGACAAGTAACTTTCAAACCATTTCAGTAAATTCCCCCGTACTCCCTTCTTTTCCAATTTGTAGAGAAGGGCACGATGCCATACCATGTCAAACGCCTTAGAAAAATCGAGAAATACTGCCAGACCATCTTTACTATCTCTAAAGTCTCTTCCGTATTCAAGATCTTTATGTATGTTGTGAATAAACTCCACTAATTGTGTGACTGTGCTATGTCTCTTACGGAAGCCAGATTGCATAGAACTGAGAAGTTTATTATTAGTTAAATGTTCATATAGTGCGCAAAAAACAACGCGCTAGAACCTTTGATAATTTAGGAAGAAGTGTTATAGGTCTGTAATTTGATGGCGACCAACGCTTTTTTGATTTATATAGGTTAGTTACAGACCCTACTTTAAAACTATCTGAAAATATGCCCTCATCAATTGATTGTTGACAGATACTTCTCAGAATGTCACTAATGATAGGGTTAGATTCACGTAGCATACGGGCTGCCACGCCTGAACTCGACGCTTTTGAAATACTGATGTTATTTATAATTTTTTCGATGTGCATAGTAAAAACAGGAATGTGATCGAGACTAACTGTAGAACTTCGGAGAGGAAAAACATAAGAAAGATTATTATTAATGTGAGAAATGGTACAAACAGATGCGAAATGCTTATTCAGAAGCTCTGCTTTATCTAAATTGTCAGTTACCCACTCTTGTTTTTTATTTTTTAGGCTTGGAATACTAAGATTGTTCTTCTACCTAAGCTAGAATTTAGTAGTTTTCACCGGATCTTTTTATTAACCTCAATGTTATTTATTCGGGTAAAATATTTTTCTTTTTCTTTTACACATGTATCAGAAAAGCGTTTCGCTGCGGCAAGATAGAGCTGTAGCTTATTGTTTACAGTCGCAGAATTATTTGAGTATAGCATTTTTTTATATTTCTGATATAGCTTATTTCGTTTAAAATACAGACTTCCAGTGAACCAAGGTTTATCTCGTTCGCGTAACAAAATAACTTTTGAAGGAATAGTTAGATCTGCGACCTTTAAAATACATTTAGATAGCGTTTGACATCGAAGGTCTACATTACTGACACCATACAGAATATTAGTATAAGTTATAAGTTGTTTTGACAGAAAATAAAATAAATATCTCCAATCAACCGCTTTGTAGTTATAAATGGTGCGCCTTGTTTAAACAGAAGAATTATACATTGAATTATTAAAAAAGAACTGAACCACAGAATGATCACATTTACTACAAAGAGGACTCAAGACATCAACCGAATATATCATATTTAGCTTATTAACAATTATTAGATCGACACAAGTGTGAGAAAGTGGTCTAGTGGCCTCACTCACTAACTGTGATAGATTTAGACTATCCAATAAGTCAAAAAGTTTCACACCCTCCACTGTCGAGCATGCTACAGATTGTGATTTATTGGACATCCATCTATCATTATGCAGACATAAAAATGCGGGATAAAATGAAAATAAAATTAAGGAAAAGTGTCTTGCCCAAATTGAAGCCATCCACTAACCTGTTGGCTGAGTATAATTTAATATTATACTATCGCTATGATCAGATAAAATTGTATGAAAAATGGTATCAATATCCTCTGCTGTGGAAATTAATGTTGGTTTATCTTCTTTCTTTGTTTTATATAACACATGTCCATTACGTATGTAAACATGGTGCTTACAATTGTCATCTAACTTTGCACGAACAGAATTGTATAGACTGACTGTCTTGCTTGTACAGTCTTCAAGGATATAAAATTTTCGACCATTTGGTTGTTTTATAAGTTTTCTTGATGCTAGTAAAGCATATCGTACTTCACGCGAATAGAAACGAGCTATCACACCGCGGTGCATCCCACTTTGCCTAGGTCCAAGACGATGAGCAGCTTCAATGTCATAGACACTTAGAGAAATGTTCAACAAAGACGCAATATTAACAATCTGTTTTTTGATATGTTCATCTTCTTTAATACCATAGAATCTGAGGTTATATGATCGGGACCTTCTCTCAATATCATCTAATTTAGCTTCAATGTTACGTTGATCTTGCTGTTGTTTCTGAAGCTGTATATTTATAGTGTGTAGTTGATCATTAACTGTGTCCAAAATGGGTTTAAGTAACAACTGACCAAGCGATTCAGATGATTTATCCACACTACCATTGTTTTGTATAACAATTTCATTAATATCGTTCTTGAGAGACTCATCTTTCAAACACTCACGAATTATACCCATTACCATCTGTTGATTGATTAGCTCTATAACTTGTTCAATAGGTTTCAATAATGATTTAGGACCACGCCGGTGCTGTACCAAATTAATTGACGATAAATCAGTTTTGGTAGAATGTGACGACATGCTTATTGTTAAAACGAAATTCTTTCCCTTTTAATATATATGTGTATGTATAGGAAGAAGCAGACTAGGCTGTCATAAACACGTCTTTACTTGAATAAAAAAAATTGTGAATGATATTACAATTGTTAGAGACACATGACGATATTGATGACTTGACTGAAAAGTATCGAAGTTGTTCAGAGGTATGCACGGAAGAAACACACTGAGTATGAAAAGTGGAAAAAAATTCCTTCCAGTCACCGTCAAGAACCGTTTTCAAGAAATGTACCAACTGATGATCTTGCACATTTTATTTAACGCTCTGCTAAAACAAAAGCATAAATGTACAACATCCAATCAGAATTTTCAGGGCTTAACACCACCCAAAAACGCTACAGAACTGTTGAAATTGTTGAACATTTGAAAAATGTTGCATCACAAAATAATTGGTCATTGAATGAGTTTTTAGGATACATTAACTACAGATGTAGTTATCATCATAAAGAAAATATGAATTGAATCGCTAGTGAACATTGGCTAGAAAAAACATGGCAATGTGTTAACATTATCAAAATTATCAATACATGGAACAATTGCAATACAAACACACTTGATTTAAGCAGACATGATGTTCGATTCTTAAAAGCAATGCTAGAAGATAAAATGCATATAAAGCCACATTGCATTGATGCCTCTTTATGTTTTCTGTGACGTCTATTTGCTCTCTTTCTGGCTAAGATGATGTTGTTTCCTTCGGTTTTGACCATTCATTATTAGCAAGTTGTTTAATGTGCTCAAGCTGATTAATTTTTGACTCTTGTTTCATTACATTTTTCCATTCTAATAAATTGGCTGCATCAACTTGCCAGGCATGATCAGCACGTATACCAGATAATTCGACTTGAAAATTAATTAGCGTTGTTATACTCAGAAAGGAGTGAGGCGGATAAAATCATTTTCCGTCCTCCCATGTTTTTGGAAAAGAATTACACATTCGGAATCAACATCAAATTCTGCATCGAATGACGGATTTGATTCACTCGAACATCGACTTTCATTTCTCGCCTCTATGGAACTTCGAAAAACTTTATTTCTTAAATTTCAGTGAAAGATACATCATTCAATGCAGAATTTCATGCCCCTTACGAATGTCAGGCTTTTGCTACACAAGTGCCCTTGATTTCGTAAGAAACGTCTTTGAGAACATTTCGGTCGCTCTTTAACAGCACGACAAAAAAGTTCTTTTTGATTTTTTCCTTCATAAAACTTGCAATGACGTATGAGAATAAAAAAGATAAATGATTAGTTGAGTATCACCAAAACAAAATTATTAAAAATTTACAAACAACAGTTAGAAAAGCCTATTAACTTAAACTTTAAAATCAAATGCAAATCTCTCTTTTTCTTTATTGTGACGTTCTCTCATAAGACATACATGATCAATTTTAGCATCTGATAACATTGTTCTCCATGTACCTCTCATGTAATCATTAGAATGTATTGTCATTGGGGGCACATATAAAGAATGTTTGGTTGGTATTTTAAATGCAGTTAAGTGCAATTCATTATCATTAACCATTTTACCTAGTATGAAAAAGCCGGATTCTTCCTGTGTAGGAGTGTCTAAATGTGCAAATCCATGTCTTTCTAATCCAGCTCGGCCACTTACAAAATCCATAAAATAATTTGATTCATATGTAAAATCCTGAATAGCATGACGATTTAACAATGATACTTTTAAACCGCTTTCATTTGCTAAACAACATCCATAATATGATAACGTTGAATTTGTAGCAATATCAATAGGCAATTTTCCATCAAATACAGTTGGAAAAATTAATTCACCGGATACTTTTTGATCACTATTTGTACTCGATATCCATCGTACATCACAAATTTTCACATATTTTGGACGTATTTCATTTTGTTCATCTGTTGAACATATTAAATCAAGTAAACTATATACACCGGGTAAAACATCTGTGGCTTCATCACCTCCAATCATCACTAATTTTCCTTCTCGACCTTCACGTTTAAAATGATTAAAATCTTTCCATCTTTCATTAATAAATGTTGTTATTCCACCAGCAGCACAAATACCATCGCTATCCGCCTTTAAGAATGCACGAAATAAATCCAATTCTACTTGACTATATCTGGATGATTGTCTCTCATTTACATGTAAAGTATTTTGTTGAATCATGTTTAAAAAATAATCGTAGAAATTTTGAAATACTAATGACGATATACCCAATTTATTATTGCGATTTATTTCTAAAAACAAGTGTTCTATATCAGCATCCTTTAGTGTTTTCAAACCCAAATTATTAAGAAATAATTTAAACTCATCTAAACTAATTTGACCATCACCATTTTTATCTGAAATCAAGAATATTTCATGAAATTTCGTTTTCACTTTTTCCAAATCATTTTCCTTAATTGTTTCTGGTATTAACTTTTGATCCCCTGCCGTTGTTGTTGCTGTTGNATTGCGATTTATTTCTAAAAACAAGTGTTCTATATCAGCATCCTTTAGTGTTTTCAAACCCAAATTATTAAGAAATAATTTAAACTCATCTAAACTAATTTGACCATCACCATTTTTATCTGAAATCAAGAATATTTCATGAAATTTCGTTTTCACTTTTTCCAAATCATTTTCCTTAATTGTTTCTGGTATTAACTTTTGATCCCCTGCCGTTGTTGTTGCTGTTGTTGTTGTTGTTGTAGTTAATGCTGAATGTTGATAAACTGGTTTTGTATCGTATGAAACTGGAAGAGTTGTAACAGTTTTATCGATTAATCTTTGTACAACTAAACGAGAAAAATCAAACGATCTAGATGAAAAAATCCTTTGAATTTGCCACCATTGCTTATTTTCGATAAAGAATGAGTGTAAAAGATCCTTTAAGTTTGAGTATCGTTCGTCAATCGTATTTCTATTTTAATAGAAACAAAAAGAAAAAAGTATGTCTGGATTTGTTCCTACTTACGTGGAAGTTTAATAATTTGTCCTATTTGTAAACTGTCATAGTTTTCTAATTCAGGATTAGCTGCTTTCATTTCATCTAATGTAAAATGTTTTGCATTTGCAATGTTGGCTAATGTGTCACCTTGCTGTATTTTATAATATGTTGAAAATGGCACTGCTGATGAACTAAAAGAATTCACACAGTTGTAAACGTACAAAATCAAAGTATATGTATGTACTTACCTTTGAATTTTCATTGATCGTGATACTATGGCTTTTATCATTTGTTCGATTATCTTATTTGGTTTTAATTCAAAATCTTTTAATTCAGTTCCATTAACAGGTGAATTTTTCGATTTTTCAAACCATTTCAAAATATTCTTACGTTCATATGTATAGCCGTCGGAAGCAAGAACTACAACATAGTTTTTATTTATGTAAGCTGCGCGTAATGTAGAGATCGAACAAAGTTTTTTTTCTAACTTTTTATACATCATTGAATAGAACGCATCGGACTGATTAAGAAAATGGAGTTTTTTTATGTCGAAGAATCTAAAATACTTAATCAGCCCGATGCGCTCTATCCAATAATATATAGAACGTTAGAAAAAACGTTGTTCGATTCTTGCATGAAGTGCATCTTAATAGCATTCAACTCAGAGTAATGTACTGTATACGTACCTGGATCTTGTAATATTTTTTTTGATATTGGATCTGTAATGGCCTGCAACATATCTTGATCTGATATTCTTCGTATATAATCATATAAATTATTATCATCTTCATTAGTTAAATTGTTATCAATATTCAATTGTGATAATGATGTTATTAATGTACCAGTATCATTTTTATTTAATAATACATCACCATCTAGATTACGTACAATTTCTACATGGTTTGATTTCGGATGATCATCCACTTCATTTCTTGGTGATGTTGTTTTCAATTGATTTAAATAATTAGCAAACTCTTCCTGTTCATTTTCACAAGCAATATCATAAGCAGTTTTATTATTACCAACAACTAAATTTAGATCAAAATGATATTTTTTACGTAAGTCATCGAATATTTTTGTATCGCCACTATAAGCCAAATGATGTATCAAATAAAAATATCTATACGGTGGTTTTTCATTTATAATTTCTGGTCGTTCTTGAATTAATTCTTTACATTTCGTCCAATTTCTTTCCTTTGCATAATTTAACATATCATCCATTTTTTTTAAACGATTAATTCTTTCAAACATTGGTTTTGTTTCATCTTTAGCTATATCCAAAACCGTTTGACCATCGCTAGCTGGTGATAAAATACGAAATTTCGGATTATTTCCTTGTAGTGACAATAAACGATCTAATTTATCGACTTCACCATGATATACAATTTGATGTAGTATTGCCCAACGACGGTCTTGAGGAATCAATGTCAACCATTCAGGACATATTAATATTGCTTCATAAACGTTTTCAAAATCTATATTTTCACGTGCATTAAAGAATGCGGCTGCTAGACGTTCTTTTGCTCGTTGTGAAAGCTGTGACATAATTTTGTACTAATCGAAAACATAAAACAAAAACATTTAGTTATTGAGTTTAAGTAGACTCAGCATGACATTTTTTAAAAAAAAATTTTTATTTTTTTTCCTGTTCTCAGATTCAAGCGTATCTTTAACCAAAAAAGAACGGTAAAAAAATAATTTTGACTTTCTTCTCTTTTACATATGACAAACTTTAAATTACGATCAAGAACGAAGGTAAATATAATTACATTTGACAATGTATGTGGTATTGCAATAAAAGAATACACGATGATGACAGTTCCGTGCACAAATAATATTCATCAAACACGTCACCGAAAAGGGAATAAAACCAAAACAAATTCTGATAAAAAAGAACAGAGGGGAAAGAAAATATAATTGCTAATAGATAGCATATGATACAGTAAAATAATATGAAGGTCAACAGAAAAATGTTTTTTAATAATCTAGCTCACATAATGAGTCAGTCGTAATGAGAATGGCTAATAAGATTTGGTACATCTTATTCTAAGGTTTTCTCGACTCTGTCCTCTCATCTGAACAATTTGAAAAGGATAGATTCAACAAAAAACAAAGAAAGCAAGAGAAAAAGTAATGGGCTTATTGAACCAAAATTTATATGTAACAAAAGTTCTCTGTCGAATAAATATAAAAATAAATTGAAAGATACAGAATTAGAATTTGTGATCACTGATTCTCATTCATTTAATTCGCTAGAGAATGACAGAATCTTGGATTTGGTTCAAATTGACATTGAAATTGGAGCTAAGGTTAGGCTGGTCGATATTCATGATATTTTTTATGGGCGTAATACAATTCGAGCTGAGTTATTCAATAAACTTGAAGATTATATGAAATCTATTGGTCTCGATTTTGATGAATCTGTTAAACAACATTACGTAGTAGCCGCGGCCAATTTTGAGACAGATGATCTTATGTAACGATATTCTTTTCTTAGACAACATCTTTCTCAATAATTTCATTATTAGTAATGCAGCTGCCTTTAGCTGGCGTTTAATGAGAAATACGTGTACGTACGGTTGTGAATATAATAATGGCAAACTAATCAGGATTAAACAATTAGAAAAACTTACGTTGAGTTTATGGTATATAGGGTGTCCGTAAAGTCCTTAGAGTTAGAAAATGTCCAATGTTTTCGTCATTCTTTACCCAAATGAGCTGATTTTTTTTCTGAGTATAGTAAGCGAATAGAAGTGTCTATTCATCACTAAACAGATCATTGGTGCGACTTGCACACATCTTGAAAAATTATAAATGGAATGAATAATGTTATGTGCTCTTCCATCACGTAGATCATTTTCTTATCTTATCTTCTTTTCTCGAGGTTTTATTCTTTTTCTTTTCCTACTTAGATCCATTTACTTCGCTTATATGTATGCATGCACATATATGTATTAGTATACTCGTTAAATGCATAAAAAGAAGAAAGTGAGAAAATGGTCAGGTTCAACGAGTGGTTTACGTTTTGTACAAAATAAGACGTCATCCTAGCGAATTACTTATTTCATTAAAGAAAGTTTGCTGGCTTTACGTTCATAAATGGTCTGTCTGCATTGAATAAACACTTCTATTTACTTTCCACATTTAGAAAAAAAATCAGCTCATTTGGGTAAAGAATAAAGAAAATATTGAACATTTTCTAACTCTAAGGACTTTACGGACACCCTATATTACATAGCTCAAGTTATACCATAACTTATATAACTTATAGAACATGAATAACAAACTAGAGAGTAATATAACGTTAGTCTGTGCAACATTTATAATCCTTATTTGCCTGGACCACTCTAATAAATTAGACACAAAAGTACATAAATCATGCCGATCAATGTATGATAGGAGAACTGATAACAGTCCACTACCACAACCGGGCAAGTCACGGGTTTTCCAAGCTACAAGTCAAGTCGAGTAAAGTTTCAGGGTTTTCCAAGTCAAGTCATAAGTCATGATCTGAAATTTTATTTTACCGTAGAAAACTGCCCAAAGCAGAGCTGGACAAATTACAGATTTTGTGCGAGCTTCGGCTTTTTTTTAGGACGGTGATGTTGGGGTAGATAATTGTGTGATAGCAGGTAACGATTCTTGAAATTTGCTCTCTTTCGTCTGGCCATACATTTTTCATAAATTGAATTAGAGAAGGAGAAGTGGAACTGAGACAAACTCAGTATGGTCTAAGATGATACAACAACTATGGATCATTAGTGCACGTAGCGCGTAGTGATACTGATGATGTAAAAAGTGCATATCTTTTCCATGTTCAGGTTCAATATCGACAGCCTATACACCAAAACGTAGATGTATTCTTTTAGAAAAACTAGCTGAGCGTGTGGTGAAACTTGTGCACTCTAAATTGGATTAAGAACTGACATTAGGTACACTAGCTTGTTTATTTTCATCTATCAAGTTGGCAGAATAACGAATAATTTAATAGTGAGTGCAGTACTTTGCAGTAGCACGGTATTGTTTTTGGTATAAATAGCGGTATCGATTGTTAGTTTGTCGCTGGAAAGTTTTCAAGGGAAAGAAACAAAACGAAGCAAAAATGTATAGCGACTCGAGCAGGAATTGAAAGAATTCTCTTTCTTTCTGCTCTGTCCACTGAGCTATCTAGTCTGTACTTTTCTATCGTTCTTTTTCTCACTATATCTGAGATGATCAGGAAAAACTGAATTTTCATTATTGACGTTCTGAAGGATCTTTCAGAAACATATGCGGAAAATTACCTAAACGAGAAAGAATTTTAAATCTACTCGAATTTTGCATTCTCGTGACCGAAACTTTTGAGTATATCTTTTTGTCTCTAAAAGAAAATGTGCAAGTGGATCAATACCCAGGACGTCGAAAACACTGTAGCTAATTGCCTATTAAACACTAGTTAAGTGCCTATTAAAAAATTGCCTATTACACGCTAGTTAATAGCTAATGAATAAAACGCGTTTTTCGATAAGTAATTTCCAAGATTTTTAACATCTTAAAGTATCGAACCGAATCGGCAATTACCTGTTCTGAATATACCATAAAAAGAAAAGACAACTTTTCTCCATCGAGTGTTTCTTTCTCGAATTAGACTTCTGCTGTGGTATCAGAATAAACAAGCTTTCCGTGCAAATATCGAGTACAGCTGAAGTGCACCGAATTAGCTTCTTGTTATTCATATCATACAGTACAGTCGAAAGTATTTTCGACCTCATACTGTAATGAAGCGTATACAAATATCGTGTATACGCCGGTAGTAGAGGATCCATCCCATTAAATTCTAGAAAGCAGTGTAATTTAACATTTCCCATCGATTATACCGTAAGTATCATACTTTTGAAAAAAGATATTTCTGTTTCAAAACAATATGATAAGGAGAAAGTGGTTAAAAGACTATAGAATGAAATCAATGTAAAAAGCGAAACTTACGTAGAGAAATACGTAGACATGAGCCGAACCAAAGCTTTTCATTCCCCGTCCCGTAAAGTTGTTTTGATCCAGCCCTGCTCCCGGTTTTAAAGGGACCAGGACCGGAAATTTTAGACCAGCAGAAGTCTAATTCGAGAAAGAAACACTCGATGGAGAAAAGTTGTCTTTTCTTTTTATGGTATATTCAGAACAGGTAATTGCCGATTCGGTTCGATACTTTAAGATGTTAAAAATCTTGGAAATTACTTGTCGAAAAACGCGTTTTATTCATTAGCTATTAACTAGCATGTAATAGGCAATTTTTTAATAGGCACTTAACTAGTGTTTAATAGGCAATTAGCTAAGTGTTTTCGACGTCCTGGGTGTGAGGAATCTATATTTCCCTAATTATAAGTCCTTGAGTTGATTGTATGCGTGCGTTAAGATATGTACTATTACTGTTTTATTCGACTACTCTTTATCACAAACTACAAAAAACTAACGTCACACAAGAAAAATACTAATATATATGTACTACTGTATGCACAAAAGATAAGAACCAAAAAGAACAAGGCGAGGAAAGAACAGAAACAGACAAAGAACAGAGCAGAACAAAAGAGAATAGCCCTACCGAAAGAAGTGCATACAGGACAGAGAGGTTGTGACAAAGAATCGTCAAGACTAGAATGCTATATAGAAAAGGGCAAAACAATACAAGAATACAAGGGCAAAAAAACAACAAAAAACACAAAAAGAAATCAAGAAAACCAAAACAAAATGTACGCGGAATGATGGAGTTAATGTTTTAATCGAGCGAGATGATTTCGGACGTAGTGCACGATGATCAATGAGGTGGAGTGGCTGCAGAGACGCTAGGGTTCGGTGGTGGAGTGCGCGACATGGTATGAAGATGAAGAAGATGGAGGATGCGGTGGTGAATCGTCATGCAGTCGGCGGTGAGGTCGAGGAGAAGATCGCGTGAACGGTGAATGCGTGGCGAGGAATACTGATGCGGAGAAAACGGTGGTGCCAAATATGTGTCTGTAACACCTTGCTGTAGGTGTAAAACGGGTTGAGCGAGGTGCGTCGTGATGGTAGCGAGAAACGAAATAGTAAATATAAGTTCGTCGACGTCGTCCGAAACTATGGGAGCTGTAACTGGTGGTGGAGGCGCGAAAGTGGATACAGACACTGATGACGTGGATGAAGGTGATGATGAGAAGGCATGATATGAGAAGAAGATTTTGTAAAATAACGTAGAAGAGATGGACCAGCGAGCGATGGAAAGATAATGACGAGAATGATGATAATGAAGAGAATGAGTGAACGATCAGAATTCGGTAATAACAGAAAGTGAGAAATGATGGGATATAGAGTTGATGAGGAGAGAAAGAAAGAGAAACAAAAAATAACAAAAGAAAAAACAGGATGACCTTAGGGGAATGGAAGTTAAATAACCTTGAACAACTGACCAGTGTATGTGAACGTTTGTTGATGAAGAATGCCACTGTTTTGTAAATGAAAAAATGGAAGAAATAAACAGTTTTGACAATGATTAATAGAGTTTCGTGTATTGTGAGAGAACGTGCACTGTTGGGAGC